CATACAATCACGGCTCGCCGATGTAGCCTCAGATCCGACCTTATTAGTATATACTAACTACATGTAGAGTTAGCAGAATAGCTATGTTGGGTTAATGGAGTCAAAGGTTGTTCAAGAATCATTGGCGTTTCGGGGACAGTGGATGAAGATGGTACCGGTCGAAAGTCGAAACCCGTGCATGGTTGCTTGCTAGTGCTAGTTTTCTCCTCGAGTATTGTGGATTGGACTATCCGCCCTCGCGCTCCCACTTATTAAACGAAACCCTCGCAAAATCCCATTCTCTAGTCTCTAGTGTCTACCCGCCCGCCTACAAAACCAAGCAAAACCAGCACAAATGCCCCAATGTCTCGCCAATCTGCGCTTGCTCTTCTTCTCCCCTCTCAAACCTTCTCCTCTCTTTCTTTCTATTCCTTCTAACCTTCGCCACCGCTCTTTCCTCCGCATCCTTTCTTCTTCTTCCTCACATTCTCGACGGCAGCGTTCTTCTTCTACCCCGCCCAACCGTCGCCAGCAGCAGCCCTCCAGTTTCAGAAGCAGAGGGAAGAGCACGTTAGTTGATAAGGGCAGAGGAAATCGGGAGGAAGGGGGAGGAGCTTCAATGGGGGATAACGGCCGTGGTGGTGGTAATTTTGCAGGGTTCAATAAGAAAAGGGCTGAGGGTAGAGATGAAAGTGACAGGGCTAGGAAGAATCTCCACTTGAAAGTCCGGAGGCTAAACCCTACCAACACTATCTCTTATGTACAGGTATCCAAACTTCTGGGCTTCACTTTGCTCTCTCTCTGCGTATCATTCGTTTTCTTAGCCATGAACTGATGAGAGCTATGTGAGTGTGATAAAGATGGAACCTTTTCGTTGTGGGCCTTAATGGTTAATGGGCAATCATAGCTTTGGTCAAAGCTTTTGCTGCGTTTCGTGAATGTTGATTTTGGGAGATTCATTTATGTAGGACGCGGGCGAAAGAGAAGCCTCTTGGTTGTGTCCTTGAATTAGCTTGTGCACAATTTGTTTGCTTTAACTACCTGTAGATGAAGTTTCCTGTCGCTGCCTCTTATTGTGAGATATCAAGTACACCAGGGTCTGCTTTATTCTTGGTTGTTGGTCATATTGAATGAATTTTTCTATCTTCCCAGATTCTTGGAACAGGAATGGACACCCAGGATACTTCGCCTTCGGTGTTGCTCTTCTTTGACAAGCAAAGATTCATTTTTAATGCTGGGGAGGTAAAGACAGCTACAAACACATCGTTTTCTTAATTTTTCTGGTAGTTGCTTGTTTGTGGAAGTTGTAGAGGACTGCATACATTTGGAATACTATTGCCTTCCTGTATCATCGATACTGTATATGAGCATAAGAAAATAGTTAGTTCGTCTGAGCAACTTGATGTTTATTTGTCATGCTTGTAAGGCGTGGTGACTGATCATTGAGATTTGGAGATGTGGATTATATGGTAGTAAATGCTATTTTAGACTTCTTGATGAAGTTATTATGCAGTGTGTATTCTGTTGTTCATTGTCCCAAACCAGATGCTTAAGGAATGATGTCATTTTCTGGGTCTGTTAAGTAGTGAAATGCCCGAGGTTACAGTGTATAGGCTTCTATATTCGCAAGGTCGTATTCTTACCACCATGTGAAATAGAAAAATAGATGCAGAATCAATCCTTATGAGCATGTGAGAAAGTTAGATTAACTCAGGGTCCTCTTCATGTGCAGGGATTGCAACGATTCTGTACAGAGCATAAGATTAAGCTATCAAAGGTATGTGTTACCCCAGATCATACTGTAACAAGTGGGTAGTTGATGTTTGTTCTTACTTTCATCAGCATTCTGGCTGAATTCTTTGCTTGGTAATTATTACCTCGATCCGGCAAGGAAAATTAACTCACTGTGCTCTTTTTTATTTCAGATCGATCATATATTTCTTTCCCGTGTCTGCTCCGAAACAGCTGGTGGAATTCCAGGGCTGTTGTTAACTTTGGCTGGCATTGGAGATGAGGGAATGTCAGTAAGTATCAAAATCTCTTTTGTACATATTGAAGTTCTTTTCTTAGATATTTAAAGCCATGTTGGTTATTCTAGCTTAAACTTGGGTAAGAAAATGATTGTTAGAAGACCACACACATTACTGAAATGATTTTGTGTACCTTCTCTTTTAAGGTCAATGTATGGGGTCCTTCAAATCTAAAGTACCTGGTAGACGCAATGAAGTCTTTCATCCCACATGCCGCAATGGTCCACACAAGAAGTTTCGGTCCAGATGCACCTTCTCATTTGGACGCAAGCAAATCAATGGACCCTATTGTGCTTGTAGATGATGAAGTCGTCAAAATATCAGCACTCTTACTCCGACCAAGATGTTCGCCAGGAGTATCTGAAGTAAAACCGGGCGATATGTCGGTTATATATCTCTGTGAACTGCCCGAGATTATGGGCAAGTTTGACCCAGGAAAGGCCAAGGCCCTCGGTTTGAGACCTGGGCCAAAATACAGCGAACTACAATCCGGGAAATCAGTAATGTCTGATCGGGACAACGTCATGGTCTATCCGAGTGATGTCATGGGACCTCGTGTGCCAGGTCCCATTGTGTTCCTTGTCGATTGCCCGACACAGGGTCATGTATATGATCTGTTATCGACATCGTCTCTTGATAGTTATTGCTCTGGTAATTCGCCTGAGGAGGATAAGACAGTCAACTGTATCGTCCATTTGAGCCCTTCCTCAGTGATAGGCAGTCCCAGTTATCAGAAGTGGATGGAGAAGTTCAGCACAGCACAACATATTATTGCTGGCCACCAAACGTGAGTGAAATTTGTTGAATGTTTCGTCTGATGAAGTGTCTGAACCAGTATATGTGCTTGATCTTTTGTTTGTTTCCTCTTTAACTTGTTTTTGTTTTTTTTACAGGAGAAATGTGGAAATTCCTATTCTGAAGTCCAGTGCCAGAATCGCAGCACGGCTCAATTACTTGTGCCCTCAGTTCTTTCCTGCCCCAGGATTCTGGTCACTGCATCCACTAGCATTAGACTCTTCAGGCAAGGTTTGTGCAACTGTGACAGCGCTTCTTGATTCTTGATAGCATTTTTAATTTCGGAGCATGAAAATGACTTACCATTATTTTTTGTTTTTCCATCTATTGCAGGATGTTCCATCCATGGCAGACAAAAGTATATCTGCTGAAAATCTCCTCAAGGTAGAAACTTTGGCAACTTAGGAGACTTTTTTCTGAACTAAAGTTATTTCTTTTTCTCGTTTTATTAGCTTTTATTTGCTCCAACTTTTAAAAGTTGTTAACTTCGATGTTCATACATATTCTTGCAGTTCACTCTGCGTCCACATGTCCAACTTGGATTGGACAAGGCTAACATTCCTACTCATCGAACCTCATCAGAAACCATAAGCGAGTTAATCACAGAGATCCCTGAAATCGTGGATGCAGCGAAACACGTAAGCGAGTTCTTTGACAAACCTCAACGAACTGGCTCTGACATGTTGCAAGACAATAACAGCAGCAATTTGACCGAAGAACCGTGGTTGGAAGAAGAAGAAGAAGAAGAGAAAAGAACAACACCGAGTTGCTTAGACAATGTAAGGAGAGACGACATGGAGATCGTTCTTCTAGGGACCGGTTCATCGCAGCCATCGAAGTACCGCAATGTCAGCTCTGTCTACATCAACCTGTATTCCAAAGGAAGTCTGTTGTTAGATTGCGGTGAAGGAACACTTGGACAGTTGAAGAGAAGGTATGGCGTGGAGGGTGCTGATGATGCTGTGAGAAAACTGAGCTGTGTCTGGATTTCTCATATCCATGCCGATCACCATACTGGGTTAGCCAGAATCCTTGCTCTGAGACGAGAGCTTTTAAAGGGAACTGATCATGAGCCATTGATCGTTGTTGGGCCAAGTCAGCTCAAGAGGTTTCTAGATGCTTATCAAAAACTGGAAGACCTGGACATGGAGTTTCTCGATTGTAGAAGCACTACAACAGGCTCTTGGGATGATTTTGAGAGCATCGGTGAATCGAAGGAGATCGATGACTCTACTGAGTCCACTCTGTTTGCTAACTTTAACAACCGTATGCAGAGTGTTTGGAAGAGACCGGGGAGTCTAGTCGATAAAGCCACATATTACTCACTTCTGAAGAAGCTGCAGACAGTCCTGAATGAAGCAGGATTGGAATCTTTGATCAGTTTCCCTGTAGTGCATTGCCCTCAGGCATTTGGCGTCGCATTGAAAGCTGCAGACAGATTCAACAGCGTTGACAAACCGATACCAGGATGGAAGATTGTCTATTCAGGGGATACCCGTCCATGCCCTGAGCTCGTGGAAGCATCTCGTGGCGCCACAGTTCTCATACACGAGGCGACATTTGAAGATGGGTTGATGGAGGAAGCCGTAGCAAGGAACCACAGCACGACGAAGGAAGCCATCGAAGTGGGGGACTCCGCTGGAGCGTATCGGTTAATCCTGACGCACTTCAGCCAGAGGTACCCGAAGATCCCGGTGTTCGATGATGCTCATATGCACAAGACGTGCATTGCCTTTGACTTGATGAGTGTTAACTTGGCTGATCTCCCTGTCCTTCCCAATGTCCTTCCTTACCTGAAGTTGTTGTTCAAAGATGAGATGGCTGTTGATGAACTGGACGAAGAGGTTCCAGACGAAGCTGCTGTAACGAGCGTTGTTGCTTGACAATGTTAATGAAGATTGTTCCGTCTTTCATTGGTTAGATGCCACATAAAGGGCGTTCAATTGATTTGATTTTGACTCATTTACTCTTTAACAAATGAGTTCAAAATATGATATTATGTTTAATATAAGGGACCAATTTGATTTACCATCAAGAGATTAGGCACTGAGAAAGTCTGAAAGAGAATAAATGTCAACTCAGCTAAGGTGCGCCGGTGGCGCCGCTTCCAACTGCAAATGTTAACCACACAGCGGGGTGAGTCACCCACTCAATAGAAAAGTATAGAAGTTTGTAACTTTTTCGCTACCGAAATCTGTCCTTTCCATTCTCTCTTAGTTCCCTTGTTTGTTCTTCTTCCATTCCCTGTTCCCTTTCCGCAATTAAATCCCAAGCTTCTCTCTTTCTCTCTCTCCCGCCCTCTCTGCCCTTGAAGCTTCGATCCCCTTCACAGCTCCCCAATTACCCAGCTGGGATACAGTCTCGAAACACTCCGGCGCAATTTCGATCTATGATTCCCGCGGGATTGGTTGAAAATTAGGCGTTTTTATTCTTTGAGAATCGGGAGGGAAGGTTTCGGGGGAGATTTTTCGTCATGGATTCAAGCAGGAGAGCGGTGGAGTCATACTGGAGATCGAGGATGATCGATGGGGCCACTTCCGACGAAGATAAGGTGACGCCCGTCTACAAACTGGAAGAGGTTTGTGATCTCTTGCGCTCTTCTCATGTAAGTATTGTGAAGGAGGTCTCCGAATTTATCTTGAGGAGGCTCGAGCATAAGAGCCCCGTTGTTAAACAGAAGGTAAGTTGCTCTGCTTTTCAGCTTCTTATTACTATGTTCGATTTCTTCAGTGTGCTGGCAATTTTGGGAGGGAGCCCTCGCAAGTTCTAGGCTTCACCACTTGTTTGATTGTGTAAAACTTATGATCGAGATATGGTGGGCAGGCTCTCAGGTTGATAAAGTATTCTGTGGGGAAATCTGGTGCGGATTTCAGGAGGGAAATGCAGAGACATTCCGTGGCTGTGCGGCAGCTGCTTCATTACAAGGGGCAGCCGGATCCATTGAAGGGGGATGCCCTAAATAAGAGTGTGAGGGATACAGCTCAGGATGCTATTTCTGCTATTTTCTCCGAGGAGAACAGCAAGCCAGCACCCGCACAGATCAGTAAGCGAATGGAAGGGTTTGGGAATACAAATTTCGAAATGCGATCATCATCATCATCAGATGATAGGAAGTCATTTCTTAGCGAGGTAGTTGATATAGGGAGTGCAACTATCAAGCAGGGACTTAGTAATTTGGCTCAAGGGAATCATCAAAGAAACAATGATCCTGGGAACTACAGGGGCCCGAATCTTCATCGGTCATTGACGGTGGATCCTGATAATAGTGCAGGTAGATATGAACCAGTCCAGTTGCGTAATGAAAATCATGGCAGTTTTGGGGCTTCCAGGAGTGCTGGTGGTGGATCATGGGGCCAGGATTCAAGATCAGCCAATACTATGACTGAAAATGGGAACTCTAGTTCCAGTGTTACAGAGAGCAAGACGCGGGAAGAAAGGTTGCTAGAAACCATAGTGACATCTGGTGGTGTACGTTTACAACCCACCAGAGATGCCGTTCATGTTTTTCTGGTTGAAGCAGCTAAAATGGATGCATTGGCTTTGAGTCGAGCCCTTGAATCCAAGCTTCAATCCCCGTCTTGGCAGGTTGGATTCTTTACCTTGATATCTTTGTCTATTATGGCACTTGTAAAACATGTTATTTGGATCCTTTAGTTTGTACATGTTACCCCTGGTTTTTATTTTATTTTAGTTTATTTGCTTGTATGAAGATTATAATTTCATCCTTTTTTTCCTTTGAAAGGTGCGAACATGTTTCTTATGATTAGCAGTTCATATTCTGAGAAGAATTTTGCTTTATTATTGTCAGGTTCGCATGAGAGCAGTGTGTGTGCTTGAGTCAATTCTGAGGAAAAGGGATGACGAGAAGTTTTCAATCATAGCTTCTTACTTCGATGAAAACATAGATGTGGTGGAGAAATGCTCTCAGTCTCCCCAAAGTTCTCTCAGTGAAAAAGCTAGAAAGGTATGTGTAATTTAACATGCCCGACCTAGTTTCGTAATGCTGTTCTTTCTGAATATGGTATGCTTGCTGCACACCTGTGCCAATGATCTTGGTTTTGGGCTTTTGGCTGCACTAAACTGGTGTAGTGTATTCAGAACCCTTTAGAATTATACAGCATTCTGCCTGTGATGGCTGAGAGCTATTTACTTTTAGTTTATGGTTATTGGCCATTTGAAGTTTGTTTTTGAGATTCGCTTTTGATTGTCTGGATGTAATGGAGCCGTGGATTCAATTCTTTTAGCTACATAGAATTAATTCTTCAAACGGTTCTTTATTTGCTATGTATTTTGTTGGAAGTATCTCTTGCACTGAGTTATATATGTTGCTGGAAGCTTCTCTTGCGTTAAGTATCATGCATACACTTTTCCTCCGCAAGAATGTTCACTTTTGCCCACTTGAAGTTAATTTATAGCCACAGAACCTGGATCCCACCATATGACGTGCTTTAAGGACACTAACCTGTGAATGTTTGCCTATAACAGGTATTGAGCCTTTTGGGTGATGGAAAAGTTGGTCGTATGCCAACTATTTCAGAAACTTCAGTATCGGCTGTATCTGCCGTCCAGATTCCTGACTTAATTGACACAAGAGAGTCGGATGATCTCTTCAAAGCAGATGATCCTTCTGTAAGGTCAAATGATCAAGTGAAATCGAATGTGACAGCCACTACTACTACTCCTTTCACTCACGATTTACTTGGAGATAGTTTTGGTCCCACTAGTGACAACTCTACAGAGCAAAAGAAAGAGGATGATGATCCATTTGCTGATGTCTCGTTTCACGCAGAAGAATCAAAAGAACAAGCTGGTGGTGATCTCTTCTCTGGGATGAACTTTGACAGTAAGCCGGCTTCTGATGCAAATCAAATACCCGCCACAAATGGAGCTGAGATATTTGATATATTTGGGCCATCCAATGGGACGGTTTCAAAAAATCAAGAACATGGTAAGGCAGATGTCAATGATTTACTGGCTGGTATGTCTATTAGTGAAGGTGTCAAGCAGCAAGGTAGCATCTCTCCATCTATTCCATCTGAAGGTACAAACCCGGGGAACATGCTTGGTGGGCCCCAGTTGACCATGATGAATGCAAGTACTGTGTTTCCTTCCGCAGCTATGCCATATGCTATTCCTCCTGGGATGATGCTGAATCCTGCTTTCTCTGCTCATTCGGTACCAATAAATTATGGTGCTATGGGAGGTTTTCTTGCTCAGCAGCAACTTCTTGCGACAATGTCTAACTTCCAACAGCAAAGTAATAATTTGAATGCTGCACAAAATGCTACTGTTGGTGCTAGTTATGCTGATGGAGGAACAGCACTTCCTGATATCTTCCACCCAAGCTTCCCCAATCAAATTCCTACCTCGACTATGAACAGCTCGAAGAAAGAGGACACTAAAGCCTTTGATTTCATCTCGGTGAGCTAACCTAAGCTAGAATTCGCTTTTCAAGACTTTGTTATTGTTGCTTCTTCTTTTGCACTTCAGTTATGATGTTTTTGATTTTGTGAAATCGTCTGTTGTGGTTGTTGATTCTGATGCAGGACCATCTTGCGGCAGCGCGTGATCCAAGAAGAGTGACTTAAAACAGAGGATCCTGTCATATGGCCTTCAGAAGAGTTTAGCCCTACCTCTATTGCTCTTTTCGAGGCAATGGTGGGGTTCTTGAGTTGAATCACAACAGTTTTTGAAAAAAGAGGTTCCAAATTCTTTGGTAATAAAGGGATGACGATAGAAGCATTGCTTCTACCATGGTTTGAGAAATAGAAGAATTGTGTGTGGATTTCCAGCCAAGTTAGAGAATGTCTAGAAAACAAGAGGACGATGGTGTATGTACTAGAGCTTCTGCCTTCCCTTTTTTCTTTTTCGAACAATCATCTCAGCCTGTTGAGTGGTTAATGTAAGACGGTAAGGGGGCGACTCTTGAGAAACACTGCTATTTTTATGGCAGTTTCTGTTTTCCCTTCCATACTGTTGATGGAGTTCGTTTCATGTTAAGCGATCATGGTAATGTGTCTTGGCATGCCCTATATTTTTCTGTAGAATGCAAAGCTTTACAGTTCTTTTGGTTTGGATTAGAGAATTGTTTTTGGAGCTGGTTGATTCTGCTTCTGATTTCTTTTCCAGCAAGCAAGTGACACCATATGTGACAAATATCCAATTTATTCCCACCAATTTTATTAGCCGATGAGGCATCCATCTCACACAAGCTTGCATGTCTACAGCTCTTGAATCCCTTGGTTTCTCAAAATCTGGCCATCAAAGAACGATTGTACAGAATATAAAAAGAAAAAATCTATGAGACCCTAGTTTCAATCTCATGTACTTCATCAAATTCAGTGATGCAAGAAAGGTTGCAAAGACACTTGGGATCACTTGCCATTCTTGCTGCTGTCTTTTGCTTGCGACTCCACAGATTTTTCTGCAAACCCAAGTTCGGACATATCCTGCTTGGCCATCAAATTCCTGCGTATACAGCAATCAAAAGAAGAATAAAAGTCCGCATGAGCAATGTACTGGATAATGCAAGCTAATAAACAGGATGATGCAATCAAATGAAACGGAATTGAGGAATGGATCACATTTCTGCGATCCTTCACTATGTGCTACCAAAACATGAAACATGATTGATATCTGAGGGCAGACATAGCTGGAAGGCTCCATCCAGTTACGGAACTACTAGGGATGGTAAGCGAAGAGAAACCAACTTAGTGGCCGTATATGCTTTCCATTCATAACAAATTCCTAGAGACAAGCAGCTTATACTTTTCTAAAAAAAAAAAAAAAAAAGATAAAAATAGTTACTCTTGGCCAGCGTCACATTTTCAAACCTCACTGTGGAAAGATCATAACTTCCTATCAGCTATGAGCTTTCAGGAAACTACTGGGGACGGGTAGTCATATCTAAGAGATCTAATCTTCCCTGATTCCATTATATCACCATCATACAAGTCTAGGGAGCAAGTACCAGATGACGGGTATAGAAATGTCACTCACTTTTCCATTCGACATTCCAGGTACTTCTTCGAGAACTGCCTACATTTTTCTGATAGGTGACCACCAGATTTCAGACAGTTGAGGTAGTCTTTCTTTTCCTGAAACAAACGAAGACCAGTCAGATTTTTCCCTTGAGCAGAAGCTCATAGTTATAACAACAATGTCTACCCTAACATATCCAAAAACGTCAAGACAATTGAAAATGAGGAAGTACCAGGTCGCATTCGTGCAAATGGTCCAGAGGGAAGACTCCTTTCTCTGGGGGCACTGGTCTCGCTCCTCTATTCCCACCAAATGCCCCACCTGTAACCAACTGTTATTTCCTTACTCAGAAAACTAAACTAAAGTACCCTACAATGCAACATTTCAGTGGATCGAATGGCAGCAAAGCAAAGGTCTTTCATGAGTCTGAAACCCCTTGTTCATGTACCAAGAGAACAGATTTTCAGGGACTACTTGGCTCCTTCATTTTCATCATAAGGATGGTAAAGACAATACAAGATAAGAGCGACATGAGTACTAACTCCAACGAGTGCACAACAACTCAAGTGTCAACTCCTACAAGATGATTTCAATGAACCCTCCCTCCATTCCTTACTCGATACACAACCAGCCAGCAATCAGACATTATTGGAGCTAAGACCAACTTAATTTAGAGGCAATACACATTCTAATGCAGAACTTGCAATGGGGGCGAGAACACTGGATTCATAATTTCAGTCCCTGGGCGCTTTGGTGTTTCCTTCAAATTCTATCAACTTAATTTCACCAATACTCTAGCTGAAGCCCCCAAGTTAATCGACACTGTGGAAGGAAGAATCCCAAATTGGATATTACCACAAGCCAAGGCTAACATCAATGGGGAATCGAATAAGGCAGGGAGAAGGAAAAAGAAGAACCTGTACTCATCTACAAATGAATTTCTGGAGGGATGAACAACGAGCAACGGAGCAGTGGATGGGGCAGGGAAGCTGATAAAAGCGGTCGGCGGAGAGAAGTTTAAAAGCGGCAGCCTGAAATCAGAGACGTCCTCCGGCAATTTCTCCGACTTGATTTCTGGAAGCGAACGGCAGCGAGCTAGTAGAACGCTCACCACGAGTGCCAAAAAAAAAATGTGGAAACGGCGGCGGGGTTTTCACTGAAACAGTTAAGAAAATGGGTGGGGTTTATTTCACTCTTAGTCACTAATCTTACACCGTTCATATCAAATGGCTACTATAACTTGAATTATCGCATTTAGGTACCCAACGTTTATAAATTTGGGGAATCCCAATTCCCATATCAAACGAGACCAGAAAAGTTAAGATTTGCAGAGTCCAGGAGCTAAAATGGAATGAAATGAACTTACAATCTGAGTATTCACAGTGAACTTACAACTACATTATTGCCCCTCTCAGTTCCCACAGCCAACTTATACACTTTTCATCATATGTACAAAACTCTTCTGAATGCACGAGACCAAGTATTCCTAAGAGTAACTTCTTCCCTCTATTTATCACTCTATGAAGCTGAAAAATAAACGTACAACAACAATAGCAGCTGTAAAAGATTATTATGGTCTTTTACACGACGAATTCTCGATGTTAATTCCAGGTGGGGTAAGATCTTCCAGGATCCCCCACGACTGAACTTCCAGCTTCTTCGTTCTTCTCAGCTGTTTCACCATGTCTAGCCGGTCCGACGAGTAAGGAGAAGGGATCTGTACATAGTAACACCAGAGAAGCACATTTTGGTCTACATTCTTTAACGTGAAAATGAAGGAAACGCACAAAGAGGGAAGAGAAGAGACGAGAACACGAGTTACCAGGGATGGCACGTATCTCTGGATCGCTGTTAGCATCGCTGCATGGCCTATGGCTGAGACCTGGTTAAGTAATTACATGGAACAGAACCATATGTCATTAATTGTTCCATGTGTGTATCCTATCTATACATGAAACATACTTACAGGTAGTAACATTAGAATTGTGATGGGCACGAGGGAAGCTAGGTCTCGGAGTGTTCTCTTCAGTTTCCTCTTTTCCCTCTTCGAAACTTTCTGCCCACGCAACTGCTTCATGAGTAGCTCCAAAGCATCCATGATGTCGTCTATTAGCAACTGTGTTCCCATCCATACGTCCTGCCGAAAGATCCCATGTGGGTGTGTTTATGTTAGCAGAAGGGGTCTCAGACTCTCCAGGATGTAGACTACAACACCTCAAATGAAACTTACGGCGGTTTTCTATAAGAACTTACAGCGGTTTTAGACATCAGTTTATGTCTATATTTCCCGAGTATGTTCATATCTGGAGAAGTCGTCTTTGTTTTGGTGCTCGATGATGTCTCAGCAATTGTTTCCTTTGTTGTTCCATCACTACTTCTGACCTACATATACAGTTAGAAGCCAGAAATTAAAACAACTTTCTTTCAGCCATTCCATTCTTTCGAAACAATCCAAATATACCTTTCTCAGGTCAGAAACAGCAGCAGACTTATCTTTCAGCTCCCTAGATGGGATGTCTGAGATCTTTACGTCTATAGGCTTCTGCACATGGTCAGAGCCACCCAGTTCAATGATCTTCATCGATTCACTGCTTTAGAACAGTCAATGAAGGGATGATCATTTCACAATTGGTCAAGTGGTTTCAACGAACAAGACTAAAAAATAGCTTACCTAAATCTACCATAAGCTGCTCGGTAGTCTTCCAGAAAAACAGCCAAGAGACTTTGACTGAAAAACAAAGATGGTTTATGTCTTCAGAAAAATCACTTGTTTGGTATTGGCATAAGGAAAGAAGAAACAAAAATGCTATCAGAAGCTAAAGATGGTATTTGCTTACCTCCGGAACAAGAATTCCAACAGTTCTGCATCTAAAGGCTTTTGGGTTGACCTGCTAAAATGAGCAAAGCCGGAGAAAACGTCGTAACAAATTGTGAAAACAGTTGATAGAATGATCTCTTGCTCTGCTTGAACTGCATGCTGTTTAGATCTTTTCCTTTCTTGACTACTCAAAGAACCAGACGCAGCATAGAAATCAAGCCATCCAATTTCATCAGTCACTACCTACAAAGGTTTTGGTAAGGTTATTAGGATGTACTCCAGCAATCTTGATCAATTGAAGCACTAATTATGAATGCTTATTACCTCTATGAAACATTGGTAACATGATACATGGGCGAGATCTGGGTAAATGAAAAGGCTACCACACTCCAGGTAACTGCACAATCAAAAAGAATTCAAGCTCCTAAAATAACGTTATTTTATATACATTTAACCCAATCCCCACAGATATGGCATTGAACCAGTCACCTGAGGAGATCCTTGAGCAGCTCATCGAGATCCTTGATTCCCATTTTTGCAAGGAACAGTCTAGTCTTCTTTCCCAGATATGCAAAAAGTCCAAGAGTGGCCAAAGTATCTGCATTGACCTATTAAAAATCATAACATACAAATTGAGTTTAAATTTCGGGTGGTGTTTTAGACAGTGTTTTAGTTTCTTGTTGATGCTCAGAGACAGTTTCCAGTTGGTGCTTTAAACTGGGTTTGCGCATTTTCCACTACATCACATTACAGAGTTAATATTACATGAGAATGGATCTTTCTTCTATAAGTGAACTGACCTTTGATGAAGAGTTAGCTGTGGGTTTCATGATAACTTCCTCGCAGAATGCCACTGAGAGCTTTTGCTGGGCCAACCCAATCCAAAACTCTAGCTCCTCAGTTTTGTTGCAAGGCAAAATCTTCGAACCAAAATGGGACAGGAAGTTGCGCTCAAAACCTGCCTCGATTGCTAAGTGATGCAGTTTCTCTACTTCTACAAGGCTATGTGAAAGATCCATGAGCTCAACTAAGACATCCTCACTTGAACAAAGAAGCAGTGGCGAAGAAATTCTTGCAGAGCCCAGTTTCCCTACAGCAGCACAGCTACTAATAGCTAAAACAATCCCTGCAACACCACTGAATGCATAATGTGTTTTAGGCCCTCAGATATTCAATAAAATAAATCCCATAAACTGTTTCATACCTTCCAGCATACTCCATAGACCACTTCTTCAGGAAGGGGGAGAAAAACCCTGTTACACGTGGCAGCTCCACCACTCTAAACCATTCTACCAGCTCTGAATGCTTTGCACCCAGTTGACTCTCTATGTAGTCTCCCACAATGTTCATTTTCGGGGTCAAGCTGAAGCCATCAACGAAGGAAAGAGAAAATAAGAAGTAGTTGATAATGTGAATGGATATTACAGAAATATTCATGTTCCAACTAACATCTTAAGACAAAACTGAGGATGTAGAAATGTAAACTTGTTCACCAAGTCAGCTTATGTTTTCAGTAAAAATGCATAACTATCAGACATCAAGAAAGCAGCCAGTAACGTACATTTCTTTGACTGGAGATGCATTGTTGTGACGATCATGAGAAAGTAAAATCTCCATGTCGATTACCGTTCGGAACAAAGCATATACAGCTACCTGAACAAACATGATGATATTTATTTCCAGACAAACTGTTCCATCCAAGTATATCAGGAAAAAAGTTCTCTCTTTTTGAGAAATATTTTCCTTCTCAACTGACCATGCTTTAAAATCGGAAAGTTCAATGCATTAGTAAGTCCATACATACATGATAAGCAATACGTTTGTGCCATGCATGCACGTCCTTCCCATTCCAAGCCTGTGCAAGTTCAGGGACACTTCCTGCCAGTCCAAGTGACTCGACCTCATGGGAAAAGCTTGAGGCGGACTCGTGCAACACCCATAGAAGACAATTCACACGATTGAACTCGACTTTACCATCCTCAGTTTTAGGGACAGAAGCACCTTTCTCATGATCAGTCTCTTCAGAATAAGAAGACGATGAAGCCACAGATGACAATGCTTTCACCGAAACACCAGAAGAAAAGACACCAGGTAATCTGCTTCTTGGAACACAGGTGGGATTCCCGAGCTTTTCCCCACCTAGTTTTGGTAAATCAGGTGCAGCAGCCTTAAGTTCCGCACGAAATGATCTCCTGTAATATCAGTTGGGAGGCTGAGTTTTCCCACAAAAGGAAGCCAAATGGTGCTAACAGAGACAAAACACATGATTCCCAAAGCATGATTCAGGAAGAGATTAGTTCTTAATCATTCAACTGAGACATAATCAGCTTTGGCTCAGGGAAGGATCTTTCTTAACTAAAATCCACCAAGAAACTTCAAACCAATATGAGTTTTGATTCACACTAATGAGTACGCAGTTTTACTAAGTCCATCATGATCCTCTGAATATCATTATCCATGTCGTGGCTTCTCGTTTAAGAATCGTAAGGATTTCTCCCAAGGGAAACCAGTACTAGGATGAGGATCTACAAGTGAAAGTTCATATAATCATATAATATCTCATCTCCATTTCTACCATTTCAATAAAGCACCAGGAATTGTTAATTATGCATTATATTACCAAGCATAGAATAACCCGGGTCAGCTCTACCAGGCAACTGTAATTATACTAACAAGAAAATCGAACAAGGAGCGAACTTTGAACCAGGAAGACCAAAACAAGCTAACTTTCGGCTGTAATTGAATCAGTTCCACAAATGGTTATTCTGAGAACATCTTTATATTCACCCATAAGCCAAAGAGAAGCTGGATCAGTTAGCGAAAAAGGACACATTCCGGATCAATCAAGAATCATTAACATTCCACAAATTACCATCATTAAGGCACGAATGTAAAGAGCCAAATCCAAAGTTTCGTTCACAGGAAAGGAGTGAGAAGGAACTTACGGCAAGTGAAGCGGGTTGTGCAGCGAGATGGCAAAATGGGCAGCCATGGAAGCAGAAGAAGAGGGGGAAGTGGGAGGTATAGAGAGAGAAAGAGGAGAAGGAAAACGGGGTTCTCATTGAGACGTGGTTTTTAACAAGGTCTCGGATCTTTAGAATTGAACGTGCTGATCGTGAAAGAGAGTAATTTTTTTTGTATTTGTAGATTTCACCATTTCGGAAAGTCCAAAGCAAAGGGGATAAAACGAACGAGGAAATTTGGCAAGAAAGTGAGGTGGCAAATTCTATCTCCAAAGCTGGCCTTTTCGCTTTCGACGATGGCCGTTTTAGCCCTTTTGAAAAATGGGACACGCTATGCTATGTTGCCTAGGTGGTGACACTGACAATCAAGAGCACATTTAGTATGAAAATAAACTTTTACTAATTACTTTTTAGTAAATTATAAGTAAAATACACTAGTAGTCAAAACTTTAACGGTTTAGTCAAATATAGTCACCTTTAGCGAAATATCAAAAATAGCCATTTCTGTCCTATTATTTGACGGTGATAGACTGATAGTTAACGTGCTGACTGGACTAACGGAAAAGCTGACATGTCAATGTTTTAGCCAATAAAAATATAAGGTAGAATTAACAAAAAAAAATTTATTTTCTCTCTCTCCCTCTCGGTTCTTTCCCCTTCCGTTCCCCAACCGCCGCTCATCTTCATCGCGACTATCCCCTCCTACCACCCGCCACCGCCGAGCACAACCCCAAGTCTCCACTTCGTCCATCACAATCCTCCTCTCCAAGCATCGCATATTCACATTCCAATCCCACCTAAGCCCTGAGATGTGCCGCCAACCCCAACTCTCGACCACCGTCCATCACAATCCTGACCACTGACATGACCAAGACTGACCCTCCTCGATGGCGGATAGAGGATTGGGAGGCGGGGCGACCAAGATGGTCTGTGGGAGGCGAGGCGAGCGTTCCTCGCTGGAGCCGTACTCGGCGGGGAGGCATACACATTTCAGAGGTGGCGGATCTCGCTATCACTAGTGGGGAGTCTGACGACGACTTGAAATTTGGTGTGGTGTTCCCTGCTGCCCTCTATCTCGGCGAAGAAGAAAGAGAAGTTACAGCGGAAAAGATGCTGGCGCGACCGATTCTGGTCTCACCATCTGAAGTATTGGAAGAGGAAGACGAGAGTTCTGGCTTATCTTCGCCATTTCCAGATCCGCGATTGCGATTGTTTCTAGTTTTTTAATTGGATTTTTTGATGGAGGGATTTTTCGCTGGCTGTTGGTGATGGACGAGGGGGAGAGGAAGACAATACAGTCAAATTTATGATTTGATCCTTTCTGTAGGCTTCATATAGTAGGAGAGATACATAGGGAAGTTTATCATTGCTTCTTGGAATTGCCTGGTTTAAGGAAGGAGGAGCTCAAACATGTAGCAAGTCATCCCTGAACATTCATTTAGTGTCACATCACGTTGAGAGAGGACCACACTATTGTTGCCAATGTTGACGAGACAACTGGGTTTGCTTGGGTAGTAGCCATTGTTATAAGAACCGAACCGGATCAACGACTAAGCCAGTAGAACCGCTAAACCAGTAACGATAATGGTTGGTTCATTAATTGGACGGTTATTAATGGACCAAACGGTTTTTCACGGTTCAACATAAAACTAGATGAACCACCACGGTTTTACTAGTAAACTTTTTACTATTTTTACCACAAAATTTTAAAAATACTTTAAAATAAATTAAGACCATCAAACCAGAATTATTAATTTTATTTCTACTTCATCTTCTCATTTTTTAACATCTTTTTTTTACTTTATGTGGCCCACCATGACTGGAGCCGTAATTTTTAACTTGAATTAAACAATTATGATTTCTTTTATGAGATGGTTTAAATGATTTCTTAGATATTTCGGTGATGATATGAATTTGAAATTATCTATCGTCAATGATAAATTCTTTCTTAGTGTATTAAACAACGGTTTTATATCAGTTAATCACGGAACTCAAAACTACTAACTTTTCCAGTGAGTGTTAGAAACCCTGTTCTAGAGCTTCTACGGGTCGGGTTGTGAGATTATATTTGGAGGTTGATTGATATTTAGGGATTAAGTGAGAATTAGGGACAAAATTGAGATTTAGGGAATAATAGAGGAGAATGGTCGACGACCTGGATAGGGAGAGATGAGAAATTGAGGGTTTGGGAGAATATGGTTTAGAGAGATATTTGCTAATATATTTTTTGATTGATTATAATGAACTCAAAGTACATATATATAAGAAAATACAAGAAAAACCTACTAAATAACCCTAATTCGACTAAACTATTACTAATATCAATAATAAATAAATAAATAATATTGTTAATAGAAGACTTGATTCTCCAAAAACTGGGTTTCTAACAATCCACCCCCTTGAGACCAAGCTTTCTCTCAAGCTTGTAGTCAGCTTTAGATCCAAACTTCAACTCTTCTCGATAATGATTTTGTAGTGGTCCGTGCTTCCTCTTCTTCCAATTTCGTTCAAACATTCGAACTAAACTTCTAGCACAAACAAGTGAGCTCATTGATAGTTGAGCCCGAGTTTGCCCGCACAACACCTTTCCCCTCCATTTTCATATACTACTTTCATTCCTCCTCCTTTCCTGATCCTGATTGTACTAATTCAAATAAAGAATGGAGAAGTAATAGCACCTTACCATCCATGACTCCATTCCCACCACTAGCCTTCATCTCATCCACCCATGAAACACATCGAACATTGGCCTCCATCTCCTTCCCTTCAAAATTCCTTCCACGTCCACCACAAGCTGCCTCGATAGACAAATCCGAGCTGGACCCGACTCTCATAGCCTTGAGTGCTGGCAGACTGTTCACCTTCAACCTCGACGAAACCCCGCCTTGTATTTGCTACTTCCTGATGACACCCACTTGGTGGCAATTCGGGTATTGGCGCGGGCTGAGTCATCAGCCAATGCTAGCTTCATGAAGTTTTGTAGCTCCAAAACACCCCAAAAATCCCACCTATTTCGGCACTAAATAACCTATGACAAGAAGGACTATTGTGGTGGTGGGGATGGTAAGCGACTGTTTAGGCATGGCAGTTTGGGCCGCCAAATTTGCAGAATCCGGCGGTTCCCGTGGTGACCAATAGCGTCGAGGAAGATTCAGCAGTTGTTGGGATAGGGCGCAGTGAAGTGGTCTCTTCCTCTGCCGATGACTAGTCTATGGCAGCGATGCAACAAAAGTATATATGCACTTTATCGATCGAGTGATAAAGATAAGGAAATAATCGTCCCACATGGATTGGTACAACTCTAGATTTAACGATCAAAATTAAGGTATGAAAAAGAACAAAAGTATTTGAATAGCAAACAAATTAAAAGAAATAACTAAACTCGAAAAGCAAGTGACAAATTAACTATGAGAAAAATCAATGGAGAGAAGCTTTAGGGAAAGACGATATGAAATTCTCTACCTAATTACCTAACTCAACTCATTTCTTAATCAATTTAATTCTCATTCAAATGACTGAAGTTATCTCTAAGCTGATAGCTATCTCTCTGAAGAATAACTACGTACTAACTAGTCAATTAATTATTCACTCTCATACAATCAATTAATTAACTACCTAGCATGAAGTCCGATAATTCCTCTAATGATCACACAACTCTCGCTTTCCACTCTCGTGCTCAATTGGGTGTTATGAAGTATATAAGAGTGTTCTATCCTAGGTATCTACTCTTGGTCTCATCTTAGAACAAAAAATCAATATGCAGGTGGCTAGACTACACAAAGCATTAAGAATCCAAACCCAATATAGATGAGAAAGACAAATAATCTTAATTAAATAATAGAAATTCGATAGCTAGATCATACGATATTCGGCTAGAAATTAGCAAGGGTGATATCTTCAAACTACCAGCATCATCCAACTCAGGCAATGTAGGTTGTGTGCTTAACTGATCACCAGAAGTCTTCTTCAACAAGGAGACATGAAAGACTAGATGAATGGCAGAACCAGTAGGCAGTTGTCGTTTGTAAGCCACAACTTAAATTCTCTACAATACCAAGAAGGGTCCATAGAACTTAGGAGTTAATTTATGATTTGCTCTTGTAGCCACAGTAGACTGCCTTTAAGGCCTCAATTGGAAATTGGAGGTAAGTCTTGTCCCCCACTTGGAAATTCTCTTTCAGTCTTGTGCTTATCAGACATATATTTATGTCTGTTTTAATCCTAAGCTAAATTGGTCCTGAGGATTCCCACCATTCTTTATTGCTAGTTCAAGATGTCTGCTACAGCTGCTACTGATTTTGTCAAAGGATTATGCTATTCAAACTAAGAGGGAGGGTACCCGTATAAGGCTTTAAAATATGTGGTTTGAAGTCTGGTGTGGTAATTAGTATTATATCACCACTCTGCCATGGACAGCCAAGCAGGCCAATCTTGTAGATTGTGATGTGTCATTCCCCTCAAGTACCCCTCCAAGCATCAATTAACTTAGTTTGTCCATCTGTCTGAGGATGGTAGGCAGTGGCGTAGTGTAGCTTGACCCCCTGTAGCTCAAAGAGAGTGGACCTGAACACACTAGTGAATAGGGAATCTTTATCACTCACAATCTTCTTAGGAAGTCCATGTATCATGCATACTCCATCAAAGAACAACTTAGGGATCGTTTGCTTCATGGATTTGGATGATGGATTTGGTGCCCAAATCCATTCCATCATGGATTTTAGGAAAATTCATCGTTTGTCTGCATTTCTTTTAGAGACCAAATCCGTGGGGCTCACGGATTTTAAGGGTCCAAATGCGTGGACCCCACGGACTTGTAAATCCCACATATTGATGTGGAATTCGTAACATGCCATAAATTCATGATGGAATTTTACTCATATAACCTCATGAACTTTTAAAATTTCAAAGTTGCTCTCACATTTACCTATTGTACATTGAATATTTTTATTATTATTTTAATGATAAAAAATATTAAAAGAATAATATTAATTTTTTATTAATTTTTAATTGCCACGTTAGATATTTAACGGTCAACTGTTAGTGTTGACTGCCACATCAAATTTAACGAAGAGTGACTAAACATGGACCATTTTACTAATTCGAGTGACCAAAATTGATATTAATCTTTTTCAGTGACTAAACATGACACATTCAGTAAACCCAGTTACCAAACTTAGCCACATTAGTAGTAATAAAGGGGTGATTGATGCTGAGGAAGTGACTATATTTAGTAAACCGATCCACCACCACTTCCTTCCCACCAGACTTGGGAAACCCTTCAATAAAATCCATAGACAACTGTTTCCAAGTCCCCTCATAAACATTCTCCACCTTACACCTCTGACATGTATCACACTGCCCTATGAACTCCTTCAACTGTTTCTTCATATCTGGACACCAGAAGAACTAGTTCACCCTTTGGTAAGTAGACTAAACACCAGAATCCCCTCCAATAGGAGAACAATGAAACAACTCCAACAGTTGAAGTCTCATACTATTCATTCTCCAACTCAACACCTACTTCACTTTCTTCTCCTTCACCATCATCATTATCATCGTCACTCCAATCAATAAGAGGTAGAACTCTTGATTCTTCGGCCTGTATGACATGCAATTGCTTCTTGGAATCACATGTCTAGCCATAAAAGTATTTTTTTCTACACATTTGTAACAGGCTCCCTTGTGGTAAGTACTCTTAGCAACTAAGTTAGCCACATTGTTTCTCTCGCTCGTAGGTGGTTTAGATCCTTCCCACTTTCTTGTAACATGAGGACTTCACTACCTGAAGCTCCTGAAAAGGGTCTAAAATTGGAACTCTTCCATTTCTTCTTCTTAGCTTCATTGAGATAGCATCATGGTCACTAAAGGTCTCAATTCTTCCTCCAATCCACTAATAAAACTGGAAATGAAATACTCTTCAACTAAGGCAGGATGTATGTCAACATTAAGGACTTTAGATCCTCAAGCTTCTCCTGGTATTCTACCAAAGAACCACGTTGCCTCAACTTGTTAAACTCACCAAAAACTCCTCCTAGAGTCAATCATTGAACCTGCCACACAGGGCATATACAAACTCCTCCCAAATCAACTAAGGATGATCAATCTTCCATCCTTCATACCATATGTATGCTCAACGATCAAAATAAATTGACTCCATTCTCACCATCTAATCTGGTGATATCTCATAAATCTCACATAGCTTCTAGCACTTTCTAGTCCATTTCTTA